AGCAGCTTGTTGTCCTGCTTGCTTCAGAGTGCGAACATTGAAAGCGGCCAGATAGAGTGGGTGTCGAGGCTTGAGGACTGATCTGGAGATTCCTGAAGATGTCGGCGCCATGTGACGAGCAGACGCTGCACGCAAAACCGATGCATGACGAACGGAGTCATCAGTCCTAAGTGCTGGGCCTACAAGGAGAGAGTTATTAATGGGGTGGGGAGAGGGGGAAGAAAAAGTATGTGAAGGAGAAAGAAGGGAGGCGTCAGCAGTAGCCTGTTTTCGCTTACCCGCCTGTGTGTGTGCAGCAAGTAAGGCGACCCGGCTGATGGCACCACGCGACGGCCGATGTGGCATGAGAATATTGTTAGTTGTGTAGTGGCTGAACTTATTGTTAGTTGTGTAGGTCATGGCTGAACTCTGAAGGTGTTAGACGCCTGCCGAAAGATGGCATAATGGTAGTCAGTTTATTCAGCAGGGCTTGTGTTTCTTCTCCGTCTTCAAAGGTAAGGCAGTGCATTCTGCGAACTTCACACACTCACACACACGCCACTTCCCACCATCAAACGCTCCGTCTTCAAAGGTAAGGCAGTGCATTCTGCGAACTTCACACACACACACACACACGCCACTTCCCATCCATCAAACGATGCACTGCGACCAACGCATCTACCAGCCCCCTAGCTATTGTCTAAACGATCACGTGGAAGAGTAAACTAAAATAATCACTTCATAACCTCAAGAGATTTGATCCATGTTGCAGCCTTTCATATTCGTACTCTATGTCAAATCGGGTAACGAGCATCTGGTGCCGAAACCTTACTTTCCTTATTTGTCGGTTTACGTTGTGTCTTCGAGATACCTATACAAGACCTCACTTCCGTTGTGCACAACACCCCGCGTAAGACGAGCTCAAATGTTCGACATTTCACTCCGGGCATCCGGTGATCCTGGTGCAATGGCCGATAGCATCTATGGTGCGGAATTTGCACTCAGCCCCAAGGCTGAAAGCGTCTTAATTGACCGGATCCCAATTAACAAGTATTTGCACTGCTTTTGTCTGGCTCAATTAGGATCAATGCAAATCGATGCTGTAAACGGTATTTTTTGTCTTATAAGATATCGTTCATCTGTGACATCATCGGTGCCTAGCTGCCATTCCACCCAAAGGAAGCACGAGGGTTGGGATACTGCCAGGTTTCTTATGCCTAGAAGGAGAAGTAGAGAGGCAGAAGTTGGATTCTAACCACTGACCCTTCGGTCAGTGAGTTCGAACTCTAACCACTGAGCCATATCACCCTCTCATTTGTTTTACGCCCCGCCAGACTACAGTTCCGGGACCTAGGAGGACAGGTTTTATCAAGATCTCTCACGACTGCTTCGGTCAGCAAGATGGCGGGCATAATGATTCTGGGGGTGGTGTGAATGCCCAAGATCGACAACTAAGTCCGGAAGGTGCACAATTAGATTGTAGGTTTGGGATGGGTGCTCAGCGAACTTATAATGGAGAGCGACGGCTTCATTTGTGTGTTGATCATCGTCTGCTCTTGGCCAGTTTGAACTTCCAGCGCAATCGCTCCCATCGAGTTCCTTAAAGGCCACCAACCACATGACAATCGCGGACTCAGTTAAGCCATGTGGCTACCAGTTACCAATGAGGAGCCTCAACTAAGGATTGTCATTGCTTGTGAGGAACGCAACTTGACTCTGATCATTTCATTGTGCCAGCCTGATTATCGCATCGCTTTCTGTCAACAGTACGCGTGCGAAGGCGGAGCAGTCTCCTTCATCAACTTCGGCAGGTTTCAGTAGCTCAAGAGTACCGAGTTGATCTGGTTAAAAAGCTGCTGAGAGACGCACAGTCATCCGGATGACGAATATTGTTTGGAAGTTGAATGGAAGTGGGCTAAAAAGCTATGGTTCCAGCTTTCAGAACTCTGTCCAGTCCATTTAACTATACTAAATGAACACTGGCTATCGTCGAGACCAGCAGATCTGCTACCAGAAAGTCCATAGCGGCAACTGGCGCGCGGAGATCCCTTACACTAGAAAGTCAGGAGCTTGAAGAATGGAGAATGATAGAGAACGCTGGTGGATTTCGAAGGCGCAGGGGATCGAAGAGCGCCTTCCTTGCAGACAACAGCCGCACCTTTTTTCAGCTGATTCGATCAGCCGGTCAAAAGAAGGCAGGTGCCAGCGACGGAATGTTAATTCACTACCTCAATAGTCGTCTTGAGCGGTGGGCGGAGGACTTCCAAGAGTAGTTAAGTTGGTCCTCTTCAACATAACAACAGGAATAACTCAGTGTGTCTAAGTGGAACGTCGACACCAGCCTGCTGCAAATGACCGAAATCCAGCATGAGGTATCAATCCTCAGGCATGACAAGGCTTTTGGCTCGGATAGCCTACACCCCGCACTCTTTAAAGATGTTGGTCTGGTCCTGGTGAACAGTCTGACAACCATACTGCAGATTTTGAACGAAAGCAGAATAGGTGTCGAACGGAGTTCCACCAAGAACGTCATGCAAATTCCATCGTTGCACTAGCCAGGTTTCCGCCGCATCTAAGGTGCTCTGTGGCATTATTTTCCTTAGGTTGATCGACTATCGAGAGAGACGGGTCCGTGGGAATCAAGCTGGGTTTCCTTATTGCCAAGGATGCATGGACCATATCTTTACCTTGAGACATGTTCCTGAACAGCACCACTTTTAAACGTTCCACGTTAGTCGTTTTTCCTCTCGACTCTCCCGATTATCAGAAACTTTGGCGGCGTCTGGAAATCAAAGTTGTTTCTTCAAACTTTATATCCCTTATGAAAAAAATCGTTCAGCTGTAGCACCCTTCCGGTGCCTAACTGCCATGCCACTCGAAGGAGACACGAGGGCTGGGATACTGCCAGGTTGCCCAAGCCTAGACAGGGGAAGTCGAGAGGCGGAGGTCGGATTCGAATCACGGACCTTCCGGTCAGTAAATTTGCGCTCTAACCACTTGTGATCGGGTTAGCCGATAATGGGTGAACCTCTTACTGGTTGCACTGCGTCCACTCAGCGACTCAGTATTGCAGTTACACAAGTTTGAAAAACTTCGTGTAGCAAATTAACACGGGCATGGTTTGCGCACTTTTCGGCGCTAAATTTGTATGTGGCCGCTAAAGATGGTGTGAGCATTCACAAGTCGTTTGATTTGGCTTTACTGTATTTCCCCTGCTTTTGCTCCGTTAATAAACCTTTGTCATTCGGCTGTTTCCTTCGAATGCGGGTTAATTTAGTGACGATTTCCGGGACTGGATGGTGATACTGATAAGGACGGTCGCAATGAGTGACCGGTAATTTTCGACAATTGGTTTTAAGAGAGTTCCCTTTTAAACACACATTTTGCCTCTTTGGGCGTATAGCTCTATATCCTAGTTGTCAAGCCCATACACGCCATGTAGCGATTACTCGACCCTACTATCAGTTCCGGGAGCTATCGTCTTGAAAGTGTATCGGTTAATGATAATTTAACCGCTGGGTAAATTCTGTCATGGTTGTAGTTGATAACTGGTGGACTCAACTCAACTAAAATCAGCTCAGAAAAAAATAAACCCTCGACCTCTGGGACACATGCATATTTTTTTACGTTTCAGTACAGCCACCTTCAGGCATCCGATTGTATCGTCCTAATGGATATCAATTACCTTCCGTTACTGGTTATCACTAATTCACTGCCATCACTGTCACCATAACCCTAGTTTGTTTTAGGATACAATTCAGCATGGTGTTCGGTTACTAGGCCATCTTATTCGCCTTCTCTATTTCTATTCCTTTTCAGTCGCGATCATCACAATCAACTGGAACGCAAAAGGCGAGCCAGCATCAAGACAAGTTACAATGATCTCAGGGAGGTCATACCTAGTCTACGGGGATCAAAGGCTTCCCGAGCTGTGATCCTGCAACGAGCAGTTGAGTGTATTGAGGAGTTGGTTAAGCTCAATCGTGACCATACACATTGCGTTGAAACTCTGAAACGGCAAAATGACGCGTTGGAATCAAAGGTTTGTGCTCAGTTTGACAGTGCTTGGACTGGGTTCAATCTGCTTGTCTATTTTTCCACGGGGTGTTCGGCAGCCCATTTGTGTACCTTACTGCTAGGTGTTAGCCACTAGGTGTAGAATCTCATACTAAGTAAGACGCTATTGCGTCAGCTGGTCTTCGTTAATGCGTGTATCTACCATAATACCCTATCATTCTTTTCATCTAAGCATCTGCCCGGTTCACATCCATGAATAAATTTACTAAAGATGAACACTTCGTATTTGAGACAATTTCGTGCTATGGGTTTCTAGCAAGTCCAACTCGGGAACCTAGCTCACCGTTGCTTGACACGGGGTACTTTACTTCCAGAAATGGCGAAATCATTCTATTGGAAAAATTGATAGTGCCCTTCAATTTGTGCTTGAATCAACAATCAATTTAGATAAACTAACACACCGACCTATCAGTAAGCTCCATTTTCTGTGTTCAGACACGTCTCCATCTAGCAATTATTTCCGTTTCATCTTTGGAGTCCGCCCATCTAATACAATGATCACTCGTTCGACTGATACGACAGGCTGTTGTGTCTTACTGAACGATAGTGCAACTCTGTGTCGGTCCCTTGGCTCCCTGCTCCACCCCCTATGCTATATCAAAAGGCACGGTATCTCCACATAGCCCTTTATGGAGACAAAGGAAAATTACTACAGCTGTATTTATAGGGTGTGCGTCGAGTCAAGGAGGCTCGATCCGGATTGGCTGGCATTCTGACCAATCAGGGTATGCTTTCGTCTGGTCCGTGACACATCCGTCCAAATGATGTAATGTTCGGTTATTAGGGACGGTTGGCCTCCGGACACAGGCTATGTTGGCATGCATGCAGGCTGATGTCCAACGTCCCATATAATCAAGATTGTCGGATTTCCGAGCGTGCTTTGGAGTTGAAATGACTAATCTTATCACACCGTTCAGATGCGGAAGGCGTAAGGGATACTCGGTGGTTCTTGCGTCTTAAGCGGCCACCTTTGTCGGGGATGCTACTTGCTGCGCGTGCATGTTTCTCCTTGTGTAGGGAGTATTTGCGGACACAAAATGAGTCACTCCAGTCACGGTGATGGTCTGTGCAGGAATCGAGGCGAAGATAAACCAGCTGTAGCTTGCGTGACAACATTAGCGTGTCAGTTAAGCAATTACACTGTAGACTGTAGTACTCATACCTATTGCCGAGCGCAATATCCTTCACCGGTAGCCTGTCCCACATTGATGCATTTTGAATGTTCACGAGAGTGGTCGCCGATAGGGGTTTCGGATGTGCATTACGTTATGAGTGAACTAATGGCCCACCTCTATGTTCTGTTCTTGGGAGTCTTCGCACTGATGATAGCCTCGGGACTGTTTCATTTTGTTCGCTGCCCGTCTTTGGGAGAGGATTTTGGAAGACAGGTCTGTGAACGACGGTTGTGCTACACCAAGCTTATTGTGGCAGTTAACCACTGTACTTTTTTCCCTTAAGAGATCCCGGTATTTCCACTAGACTATCCTAACAGGGTTTTAAAGACTCAGTTATTAAGGCTTCTTCAAGGCAAAATGCAAGTTTCGTGCAATACACTGAAAAATGTTTACTTTACATCGAGAAGCATTCAGCATTTAATTAATCTTGGTATATCTTAACATTCAAAGTATTTATCTGATTAGTAGGCACCACTATCGTTGATGAAGTTGGTGATAATAATGGTGATGCTCAAGTAAACATGGATAGGATTGAACCTGTTGGGAAGAACGTGATGACCATCTGTTGGCAGTTTCCTACGACATTTCCAGATTATGGTCATCTGGGACTGGGTGTCCGAAGTGAAGCCTGTCAAGCGAAGCTGCCAACCGATGTCAGTGGCGTTCTTGTTGTCAGTTTCTGTCCAGATTGCCTGAGTGAATGTCTGTAGGCACCTCGGAATGATTGTGTTAAGCTAGCACTAAGTCCCTCCCCCATCCACCTTTATTCTTTTCTTTACAATAAGGCTTTCAAATAAGTCATGGTTGTACGGCAGTGAAGCATTGGTGTTGAACACTGATGTCATACTGTCGTTGATGATGATGATGATGATGACATTCGTTCCGCAAACATTTTTCAGTACCACAGGGTTCGGGGGGCGTGAAGTACCGCATGGGTTGAGCTATTCAACACAACTTACTGCTCACTGGTATGTTGGTGGGAAAGGATCGAAAGGAAGGGCTGCACGAGCTCCCTGTCTCCACGAGTGTTGATATACAGTGCGAGAAGATACCTTCATAAGTAGTCATTTGATTGGTGTTCTGGTTCTGTTAGCTACGCGAAGCTTATTTCCTTCTTTGTTAGCGGACAGGTGCACTTTAACCGCTTCCCCTATAGGTATTTCCTCAACCATTGTTTCTCGCTGGAATGTGTCGCCAAATTGTATTGATGCCACCATTTCATACAAAACTCTACTCAACTGCTGTACTACTCACAGGTTCAAGACCTCCAACGTTACATCCAGCGTCTTGATGGTGAAGAGGCAGTCAGCGCATCGTGTTGCTCGTCGTTTCCAGGTTGCGGGTCGGCACCTGGAAACGGAGCGTTGAGGCTCTTGTCGGGCTCTATTACACCGGCTGGGACTTCAGGATCTGGTTCTTCAGGTGTACCCGTTTATCGTTTGTTGCCGCATGATGCTGCTGATAAGGTGAGTTTCGAAAGTGGATGACTGGTTAAACTACTGGCTTCATCAAATGGGTTTATTTCTCCCTGTAGTCCTCCTAATCGGATACAAGCATGAGCCACTGTACCGTTTTCGGACAACATGCTGTTCCGTCCCATAAGCTAGCTTCGCTGAAACGAATTAATCCTGCGCTTTTTCACAGAAAAATCTGTGAACCTGTCTAACGTCTTGTAACGTGGCTGATGTAGTAGGACAGTATCCGGACAGTAACTATCGGTTCGAAAGAGTCCGTGTCTGACACTTTCGTTCATTGGTTTTAGCGCACGGCCACATGTTTTTTTGGTTCAGAAGTATGCCTTTAATTGTGCAACGCAAGAGGTGCCATGACTTTCAGTCCCCTTGATTGAATGGTGGAATGCCCAGAAAGACGGCTGAAAATGGCCAGTGTAACCGAAGCAGACATCGGAGTTCGCTGCAGTTTCACTGTATTGACAAACTGTATGAATTATGTTTCGGTGTCCCAATGCGCTTTCTCGGGCCTAATCGATTCAGAAACAAGACTTGGGCTCAGAACTAACACATTCGTGGCCCAATTTTGGCCTTGACGAATGAGTGTTCCCTTCCAGACCCCGGTGAACTGAAAGCGTCTCAGCCGTCTCATGAGTAGCATAAAAACTATGCGCATGGGAGACTATACTCCTGAATGATCCGTTCCAGGATATCAAACTTAGGTTACTTATTTTTCTGTATTCCACGAAATGGCCTACAGTAACACCGCAATCAAACACAGTCATCTCACTGCCGTAAAGATATGTTATTCGTGGAGAACCGTGCTGTGGGAGTAGGAAACAACCTTGGGATATTGCCCGTAGTCCCATTTTCATGTCTACATTCTAAATCCACCAAACTTTGGCCTTGCAGCGATAAAGGTCTTTTTAGATTTCTCTTACTGTTATGAATGATCTGTCGGTTTAGCGACTCCTAAGTTGCCCGTTCTTCTGTTACAGCCAGGGCCGTCTCATGGCTCTGTTCAAACTGTTGGTTTTGCAAACAGACCAACCACCCATAATGGAACTCCTCAAGGATCGACAGCAGTTTCCCACACTTTTTCATCACGCACACGAACTAGTCCAGCAATCCATTTGTCCACCTCAGCGTGCGCACTCTCGTCTGGATACAGTGGGATGAACGCCCTCAGTGCTGCAGTCAACTTAGTCGCCAGCACTAACTCAGCGTTTTCGTCGGCATCATCCTCCACTGGCTCGAACTGCGACCCTCCACAGTCTTCTTCACAGCGTTCCAGTCCAGGATGTCTTTCGTCTTCCTCTTCAACTGCTTCCTCTTTCAACCAATGCTGTTCTCGTGGTAGGGGTCAGAGCGAAGAACGCTCCCTCATCATCGACGTCCCATCGTCCGGGGATATAGACTTTGCTGAGACTAATGGCACAGGCTCCTTTTGTAGCTTGAAGACTAATGGCACTGCGGCACTTCCCACTAGTCCGACATCTCGGACCTCCTCACCACCCTCTATTCTACTTACTGTGCCAGTACGACCACTGGCAACGTGCACGCAGACACACGGATCAAGAAAGCTTTCCTCAAGTGACGTGGATGCTGCTGTGGGGCTCAGTGATATCTCCAAACGACGTCGTCTCACTTGATCTCAGTTGTTCACTTCTCAGGCCATCCCTTCTAAGCTATTCCGTACGATAAATACGCAACTTCCCAATTTTTCTATGATGTATCTATCCGGCCTGTTGACGACTTCCGCTCACTCCGCACTTGACTGCGTCAAACTGGCCCACACAACTCCTATCTTGTTGGAGGTTCGGTGTAATTTGATTTTCTGAAATCCAAAGTATGTATTTTATTTGTACAGATGGCATGTCCGTTAGGACAACTATGACACTAGGAGTATTACTTTCCATGCTTAGTTGTATGTTTTACGACCTGGCGATCACAGCACCTAATGTTAATATCCTTACTACGTCTCCTCATATTGGCGTTCAAGGCCTTTATTGTCTCCACAGCATGTCTATATCGTTGCATTGGCATGCTTATCACTCTTAAATATTCAATCATTGATTATTACCGTTGTGGTTTTTCGTTGTTCATATCATGGTTTTGTTTGTTGGCTTTCTCTTACTTTCCTTTATTTGTCCTTATACCTTTTGTGAAACTGGCCACTATTATCGGTAGAATAATAGATCTTGATAAATAAAGCTTCTGACTTATTGGTCGGTGTTCTTTTCGCGATTTCACACCCACTGTTATTGGTCCCACTCAGGACAGTTTAGGTTCCTCTATCACTCAGGTGTTGGCCGTGCATTTGCATATGTTGGTTTTAGCATTCGAGACATTTCTCACAGTGCTGTTCGTTTTGAGGCTTGTTGGGTAATTACCATGTCCATTGGTTATACGTGCAGGCGTCCGGTCTTAGTGTCTCCAATTAGCGTCTCCCATTAGGTATCCAGCGTAAGTTTCAACGTAGGATTAACCCGACTGCTGACGGCGTAATTCCTTGCACAATAGATTCCGCAGGCAAACCAGTGGACTTCGACAGCGCTTTTTTCTCATTGTCATTCGGGTATCCCTTGGATGGTCAGGTCACAAATTATGGTATAGCCATAGTCATCAGTCGAACTTCCCGCTGGTTCTTTTCGGACATCGCCTCACTCTCGTCACCCGTGACAACAGAACCGGTGTAAAACGCCGGTGCTTCAGTACCGTTCCGCTGTGATTATTCGAGGATTCTGTTATGAGACGAGTACTTCAGAGAAAATATTTAGGGCTTACCTGCCACGAACATTCTGGAATATCCTTATCTCTTGACAGATGCACACAACAACCGGGCCATTGGAATCGATACCGAACCCGAGATAGTTCAGTGGTTAAGGCGTGGACTTAATGACTGGAACGTCCGTGATTCAAACTTAACCTCGGTATCTCGACTGCTTTTGTCCATGCATGGGAAACCTTGGAGTATCTCAGCCCTCTTGCTCCATTCGGGGGACATGGCAACGATGCAGTCACTGCATGTTGTAGATGTACGATTATTTTGTCTTGTGGTGTCTCCATCCAGGCACAGCGGAGCAAGTTGACTCCTTAGGGGTATCGCTTGCCGAAACCACTCAGAGTTCTTAATCACCTTCATAACTGTTTCCCCAGGGTAGGGTTACCCACCTTCACAACAAATAGTATCTTTTCGTTGGATGATAACGTAACTCATTCGTTTACCTGGGTGGTTGTGTGAACTGGCTGGAGACGAGTTTACCTCAAGTCATCAAAGTTAAATGAGCTTTTGTTAATTTCGACACCTATGTCGCCGGTGTGAAGTCAGCTGGTTTATCAAAAGCACAGTGTACACTACGGTAATGCGATCCATGCTGCTTTATGAATCAGAAACGCGGGTTGTACGCGCAGACGACGTACGATAGCTGTCCCCGATTGATTAGCTGGGTCACAGGGAACAACGAATAGGGAGTACTGAGGCACACCAGACGGTCTTAGAAAAAATGAATTATTCCACGATGCATTAGTTACTCACGCTTCCTAGGTTACGCTAGCTAGGATATGTACTCCGCATACCAGAGGACCGTATGCCTCGCAGAACTCTTTTCGCCCAGCCATGTACTCAGTGATAGCGACCGAGAGACTTCTTGAATGAGGATCCCAGGACCCAACCCACCAATGGTTAATGATACTGGCATACTGGTTCAATCATGCATTGAATGAACTAAACCTCTGTGGCCTCTGTGGTCGGGCTGCGGGCCCCGGTTAAACAGACCATATACACCACTGTCCTCAATTGGTCCAGGGTATGGATGTAGCCTCAAACGTTGATACTTTTTCAAAACTGCTTAGTCTCATTCTCATCAGCAACGGACTTAACAGTCTATTCATCGCAAGACTACTGGAGGATTAACGCCCAGTCGTGAAGAAAAGTATGTAAAATTAGCGGAGCACTTAGGTTTAATTCGTGATTGCATAACTGAGCGTTCACTATCAGTTGTGCGTCATTACCACACCCCTGATGGTGAATCCCGAAGGCAAGCCAAACTGGCTGATAGAGTCAGAGTCAGAAAGTCTTATGCCTAGCACACCTCATTATTAATGATGGGAACCTTCCCTTCGCTCTTTTGTTTGATATGGAGTACTGAGGAGTACCCCAGACCTCCTCATATTGCTTTAATTACCCTAGAAAAGCCACAAATGTTTGTGAGAGCTATGGGGAGTCCAACCCATTAGATGCTGCTGCGAGGGCTCGTGCTATGTAAACTCTGTATTGTCCCACTATAGCAAAGCATTCAACTCTGGGGACAAACCGATGATTCTGATAGGGCTGATGAAACGTCTACTGAATACTGAACTTGCATCGGATTCTCGAACATCGCTTCAAATTCTGGCCCACCGCGGACTGCTCCATCGGCTTCGGAACATCGTTCGACTGGGTTCAGGGAAACCCATACGGACCATCCCGTGGGTTGACGGTGTAGCTGTTAAACCCTTCTTCATTTCTTGATCGTAGCCTAATTAATTCACTTGGATTTTTGTTCCGGAAACTTGGCCTAAGAAAATAGGAATGCGATGTCCACCATGACTCCGTCCAAACCAGAAAACCTAGTACGTTGAATACTGCTTTGAAGGTACTGTTTCATTCCAGGTGAAATGACGGAAGTAAACACACTAGCACAGATTGATCTGGAGGCAACAGTGATGAAACCAATCTATGCTGCAAGTTTATTTTTTTCGGAATGAAACGTGGGGTTTTGATTTGTTCATGACAGCCCACTTGTTCTGTAGCAGATCCAAAATGCCGGAAACGACACACTCTGTAGCTCCTGGTATCTTCCGAATTGAACTAAACTCAAACTGGTCTGTGGCAACTTGAACCGTGGAAATCAACCCACCACAAAGTACACATTCGTATAAAATGCTTACTGCGTCAACACAACCGGAATACCCTACCATCTGTGCTGTGAATGTTCACTCTGCACTACTTTTGCTAGAAGAGACTCGGAATTGATGTGGCTTTATGTTTGAGTTTATCAAAAAGGGGGATTGCAAGAGTAAAACGAAGAAACTACCCGGTCTGATTCGGCGCTCAGTATTCGCACAATGGAATTGGATTTTCGAAAGTTATGACGTGTCCCTGATGGACTGAAGCAATCGGGCAATTCAGATGAGAGTGCCATTCCAAACTTTTAAGCCCCATTTAGGCATCTCGGGGTCTTGTCGATGCTGGGAAATTATCCCACAGGACTTTTCAGCCAGAGACATGGTTGCTTCAGTGAACAATTAAATTCGGTGAGCTGCAAAAATATGGACGTAGAGCACATACGCAACAAAATGCAACAGTTCGGCGTAGAAAGTTTTACTCCACTTGTAAAGGTTTTGCAGCAGAGGGCATTGTGCGGATAATGGACACCGTCCGATTCACCCTACAGCATCTTTCAGAAACTTCTGCGGGGTGAACTCAAGCACCGGCATTAGTGATGTTATTGAAGCCAACTTGTCTGCGAAAATCAAGATCACCTTGCTGTTTCGGTGTGTAGTACAACCAGTCATAAGATCGCTATTAAAATGCTCAACTTATGGGTTAGCCTCTTCAGAGATCTTGAATACTGGTGGTTTAATTGTTCTCTGAGCTTGGTATTGACGCCCTCGCGATTGGGACCAAAAGCCTTCAACGAATTTGCTAAGCTGGGGTAAAAATTCAACCACCAACTTCTTATTTTGAGCTACTATTATTCTCTTATTTAAGCAATACTTCCTACAAAGCAAGGAGGTTGCCTAAGGTTCTTCCAATGCTTGGTCTGGTACTAAATGTGCCGTAGTCTTTGTTGCAGTTTCCCTCACTTTTCTACTGAACGACGTTCCTTTTTAGACGTTCCAGCAGCGCAGTTTCTCCACTCTGTACCGTTTATCAGGAACGGTCAGCACCTGTGTCTCCTCTTCCAGGACCTCCCCTCAACTCTACTGTTGGACCCGCTGGCTGAGTCCTCTCCTCCACCCGCACCGTCGTTCACTTTTCACCTGGAATTCGAGGCGCGTTAACCGAACTTACGAACTGGATGATCATCGTGTGCTATACTTACCTTCGGCTATAATGTCGACCATGTCAGCCACGACAGTTTGTATTCCCAGCACCCTGGAGCTTCAACCAGCTTATGTGTATCGCTCAAGGTCATATGAATCGAGTTCACGTGTTTGTTTGGAACTTTTTGTACGACAACCAGCTGGGAACTCCCTTTCGCGCTTTCGATTTGAAAGGTTGGCTTCCGAACTTCTTTCCGCCTCTTTGGATCGAATAGTGCTTTCTTTAAATAAGGGATTCGAAGAAAAAAGCAAGAAACGACCCAAAGGATCGAACGTTACCGATGCTCAGACGCCAGGGTTTTTTATTTCTGAAGCCCAGATCTTGGAGGGTGTCAACAGTGAAGACTCACAGATTCGCTGCTATGAAGTACCCAAATCAAGAGCTTGGGGCGATGTGCTCTCACCAGTTTCTGACACGCTGTCTTCTAATGGCATATCGGGTCGATCGCTGTTTTTGAGGCTTTATGGTCCTACTGAACCCCTTACGTTTCGTCTTATCTCGAACCCGGCCCGTATTCACACCTGCCGTTTGGATACTCTTCCAATGACAAACTATCCGGTTGTCCCCTTCGTCGAACTGGAGGACGCTAGTTTGATGCATTGCGAATTCCTGTGGTTTGTTTCTAAGGTGAGTTAACACACTTAAAAGGCAATAAATACTATTTTCGTCAAACTTACCCTTTGAATCCAACGGCTTGTTTGCTTTGATGTGCTGCTGGAATCGGGATGATGGGTCCCCACTTGAGAGGGCAGCCCTCCGTTTCTGATTTTTACTGTTTCTAGGCCAGCGCGAACTGATAGTATTCCGGCGCTTTTGCAACTTACGCATTGCTTGATTGTTATATGCCAGTACGACGCGGTGATGTCCCACTTTGACTGATTCTAAGTTTGTCTGACGCCTTAGATGTATATACTCCGCATCCGTAATCCTTGCCATTCAAGCTGGCGGGAATATACGAAACTGCCAGGTCAGTAAAACATTAAAGTTAGTTGAATAGTTGAAGGAACAACACAACGCTAGGGTTGGGATTTTGTTGCTGAACAAAAATGCATGCTATTCGAAGAGAGAGAAATTTTGACCTGAAGCTGACGAAAATCCGGTGAGTGAAAGTTGAGGACTGATGATGGAAAAATGCGGAAAAGGGCAGGAGTGTAGAACAAATCCCATTCCTAGAACGGAAGTGTAGCGAATATCCGGTGCACTGGAGGTATGTGAGGTCTTCGTTACTGAATAGTTGTGTTCCACTGAAAAAGAGAACAGATTGGATGGATAGTAATAAGAGGTGAAGGGCTGAGTTAATGATGTTCAAGCAGTGGATGCTGCGTAGTAAGGTTTTGGATTTGCGGTTGGAGCAACGGGCTTTCATCTCATGTTTTTTATAGGTGACATATTGGCATCCTGACTCAGGCGCTTGGAATGCCTGGGCACATTGGGCTCCCATATGTTGGTCCAGCTGCCACATGCGAACGGCTGAAACCCGCTGTTCCCATGGGGCCTCGTTCTAAGAATGTTAAGAACAGAGCATACAACATCGTGCTTCAGATTTTGTTATATGAGTCAGAAACATGATTGTTGCCAGTAGTTCGGCGAAGACTTTCAGGGCTTAACCGACTGTGCATTAGAAGTATTGCCCCAGTCCCGTTCAGCGGCGCCGATGGAGAAAAACGGTTGATGTGCTCACGACAGATGCTCTTTCCGTGTGTTATGTGAGTTTAACGACGTGTTTTTCCGACAGTATGCCATCCGCTCCACTGAGCATCTCACTCAGCCGCTTACGGTTTCTAGGCTATCCGAAATCTGTCCGACCACGATCCCAGCAGCTAAGCGTAGAAGTCTTAGTCAGCAAAATTATTCGTGCTACAGGCTCCCTTGTTGAGGGCACGTTCCAATCCCATTCCAATCCAAATAGGTTTTCACGTTATCGCCAAAACCATTCTCCCCGTCATCATTACTGGATTTCCGCAACCCATCGGCTTCCGTTCTTGTTCGCCTTTCCGCTTCTATATAGAACTGTGTTAGGTGGAAGCAGTGGATGAACAACTGTGCTGGACGGAACATACTTGGGCCAGTAACAGTGAAACTGACAATATGAAAAACATTTCAGTTACGATGCCACCTAAAATCGATGTTTAGTGGTAGTTTGCTTGAGAACGAGCTGATCGATCTCGGTGTAATCGCCGTAACTGAATAAGCAACTGTCCCTAACACATGCGAATGGTTGACGGACTGGCAACGTCAATGTGTGAGTTAATCGAGTATGACGTTATTACGACACGACAAACGGTGACCATATTTGGTGCCGTGACAAATCGGTCGTCAACGTAACGAATGTGGGTGATTTTATTAACTTTTGCTTTTCGACGTGATGAAAAACAACAGCTGATTAAATCAGGTCATTTCGATTGTCAACCAGTTACCAACATGATTGAGCTATCACATCCGATTATTCCAATCAGCTGTCATCGGCTGTAGTGGAATGAATGTCTGGGAACTTCGATCCACCTTTGAATGTGACGGGCATATCGTGTGCAAAATTTGCACTCATCCTTTTGATGGGCACGCTGGTTGACGGTTGTAGACGTTTTACCGAGTATTACAGGCGAATTACGTGTGAACGAAGGAAACGTCAGCTGTACAGGTTCGTGGGTTGTAACAGATGGATCATCAAATGGAGGTGCCTGAGTGGCAGCACAGTGGTTGCCCTAAAGAAAGCTACTATTGAGGCCTGGCCAAAGTGATCGGTTCCGAGGACACAAATTCCTATTCGGGGAATCGATCCAGTTTTACGTGACAACTGAATATCCCTTGAGTCCAATGGGAAATTTTCAAATAAATCTGTCGCGTTTTCCCTCACTAAGCACCTTCTGCATTCTGCGTTTATCCTCATCTTCATTATAGGGCTCTATTTAAACGAATTTAAGAAGTTAAACATCCGTGTTCCCACACTGTTGTTACTCAATGAGTGATTGCTTACGTTCCACATTATTTTTTAGTCGAGCCCGTTTTTAATTTATAAATTGATGGGATATACTACTTGCCCATTTTTGGCTAAAACTCAATGATGCGTGCGGTCACTATGCTACCTATTTCGTGGCATCTTTGTCATCAACTCTCATCTTTCTTTTAGCAGTTTGATCAGTCTCCTTCAAATTGATCCGTCACCTGGAAAGCATTCTTTTCTGGTGCTACATAAGTTCCCTTACATATCAAACTTGGCAACTCTTGTACCTCAGTTGTCGAACGTACACTAATGGTTGGTGGATTGGCCTTTAACCCACTGCCGTAAATACGGATAGGCTGTGTAGTCGAGACTAACAAGTCTGAATTGTTAGCATCTTGGTATTTCTTTGCCGTTGGGTCGTCAGAATGCTCGTGTTGTATCCCTGGTAAAGATAGAACTGAGCTGAAAACGGAGTCACTAACCCTTACTGCAGCGTGATCAAGCAGGATCTTCCGTCAGTCAACCGTTATGGCGTAGCCTATGCACGCATGCATAGAAAAGCAGAATGATCCGATCTCTGTGTATCACTGGGATTTACGCCAAATGTGTTGGTTCGAAATGTGCATGGCGTTTTACCGTTATGTAGCACAACACTATCTTACTGCTGCAACCATCATTTCACCACCTGGTGAAATGGTGAAATGGTGGTCATTCAAGTGTTCTACAAGAAGCCTGTGCTGGTATAACTTCCTGAAGCAGCGCGCTTGTCTGCCTCGAAATTGTCTTCATCATACCAAAGAACAGGAAGGTGATCCTTGATCAACGTTAGCCTTGTTTTTTTGGGTTCATTTCTGAAAGGCAACATTTTGATTTCACCACAGTTGGCGCCGATCGATACGTATTTTTAGTGGACAGCATTTATATGTCTGTTTTGATCAGTCCGGAAGAGATTTTAACTCGCGTTGCTTGGAGTTGGACAATCTGGTGTTACTAGCGTCAAAGTCGTGTTACCCATCCCGTAGGTAGTCCGCAGTGGTCACCCCAAACCTGGCACTTATGTACCTTTAGAAAAGTGGTGGTGGTTGCGCCCCACACCTTTATTGGTCAATGATCAAATAACGGCGTCAGTTCAGTGGGGCGAAAAAACAGCCCTTGTGGATTTTACGAGTGTTTTTTCTGTTGCACATCCCCCCAAAACCACCAGTTTGGTTTTGAAGTTATCCGTTGGGCGTCTGCAAAGATCCACGACAAAGGTGAATGGAACAGAACAGACTAGGATATTCATCCTTTTGATAGCGTGAGCGCGTTTGCTCGCCATGGTTTTGGTGACTTTGGTCCATATGAAACGAATAAAACAAGGTTGACAAATTTCGTAAATGGCCGACTACCCAACTAAGCAACCCCGGATACATCGCTGAGTGTTCAGAAAAATCAAATCTTAACAGAGAAGTTCCCGAAACAGCAATTTCGGTTAGTTTCATTAGTGTTCCGTCAAATGGAGAATCACTTTAAATTCATATTCTCAGTTGACTTCGGCCTTGTTAGTGAAGTCAGTCTTTCCGAAATGGCAGGAAGTACCGTACGGATGCTTTATCTTTGTTTGGAATCGTCGCGGGTGCGCATCTGACAAATCGCCAGGGCGGTAGTTTTGAAAAAAGAATGTTCAGCTACTCATGGCCCATCTCTCACTTAGAATATAGCGCCACACATCTTTCAGTCACCTAATTCACTTCACATGGTTACGTGTCGACTGGTTCCTCGAGTAATGACTTCTCAGCTGGAAGGCTCACTTGTCGTGTGTGGTTTCTTCTGAGCTGCTAATAATTTACTGGTAGTATGAGGGAGTTTCAGGATTTTCCGGTAGAGATTTCGCTTTGCAACTGAGCCATTTCTATCAACAATCTCGAAATAGCTTTCAGTTTGATGATGGTTTATATAAGATATTGTTATTCCATGGCTTTTGTACCATTTAAAAGTCCAAGGAGCCACCATACGTACAGGCCCGAGTCGTGACTGTACTCTCGGAAGGATTTCCACCGGGTACCCTTGGTCATCCTTCCCCAGCTTGCTCCCCAGTTCTACTTGGATCTCGAATTGTGAGACTAATCACCGCCAGTTCAGTTGAACGATGTGATCCAGCTACTTATCCATAGTCGAGTATTGATGGTGTGCTCTGGCTGCAGTTAAATCCACATATCACAATTACCGTCACTGTACCTATGGGGTCGTAGATCACCGTCTTTGTATTGACAGTTCCGCCGGCTGTAGCCCACATTCATACACCGACCGGTCTATCGCTGTGTCACCCAGAGTCATCACTGGATGCAAAGTGTGAGCAGCCGGACTGCCATGCGTGCCTTGTTGGTGCAAATGTGCCAGCGTTTGACGCTTCCGATTCAGAAACACCAGCTCATTCAGCTCTTCGATTGCATGCCAGGACCACTCGCGCTTTTCAGGTCAGTGTGCCCGACTGACGCTAGGAATTTTGGGTGACCTGATACAAACGGATAAGCGACGCAAGTCCGGTCACATTTGGAATCGATTAGCCCATTGGTCGCCCTACGCTGCCCAGCTGACGGGCTTGATTTTAGATACTTGATCTTCCAAGATCCTGTACACTTTGAGGTGATATCTATTGTTCCATCAGATTACCATGTGGCACAGCAAATTGTATTCATTAATTGGT